TCCGGGCTTTACAGTGGATTAGGAACCACCAACCATTCTAGATCTGGCACCCTGTGACTTTCACCTGTTTGGTCCAATAAAGGACAAGGCAATGATTTGATGGCACAGAAGAGATGAAAGTGGCTGTGAAGAAGTGGGTACAACAGTACACACCTGACTTGTTTCAAAGAGGATTCCAGAGTTGGGTTCAATGATGACACAAATGCATTGCTTGCAATGTAGACTATGTTGAGTAGTATTTTCGTATAAAGGATGAGTTACTCTACCAAAAAGTTCAATTTGAACAACCTATGCCAGTAAATAAAACAATTTAAAAAGGGGCTGAACCAAAACTTTTGCATTAGTTTTGGTTCAGCCCCTGTAGTCTTATTTACATTTTTATCATAATAGTTTGTTTGAAAAAGTTTAAATATTTAAATTTTCATTATTTTAGATGACATCATCAATGAAACAAGCATCCTGAAAGAATATATGTATAGATATGCTCTATATTTATACATACTTTTTCTTTAGTTATTCAGATTTGTAATTTGATAATCTTAAGATCTAGAATAATAAACTTAAGCCTTACTACTAGGCTATTTTTGGGCTACAATAAAACTGATTAAATGAATGGATCTGGACTAGAGATAGGCAGTCATGCTGTCACCTCATAACAACAACAGGAATTAGAAAATAAATTAAATAATCTATAAATTTCTGAAATTCTAAAGTTATATTTATTTGTATATAATAAATATAAAATAATTAAATTTCACTGTCAAAGTAAAATTTGTTGTTAAATAGAAAACCTTATTTATGAGGAGTTAAATGTTTTATGCATATTGTTAGACATTATTTACATTAAATATAATGTGATATACACATTTTATATAATTTACAAGCATTTATGGAATAATCTCTATTGTAAATCATTTCTAAAAGCTTGCCTTATAATAGATTAAATCTTTATTACAATAAAATTTTTTTGGCGTGTTAATGTTTACATAATGTAAATGTAAATACTTCAGCACATACGTAAAACTGAATTAAACTGACAATGCATCTTAGAACCACAGTTCAAACTTCNATTATTTAATAGTTCAGCTACAAGCCAGATGAAGTTTTGTATTCTGCTTGAAATATTAGTTACTTAAACTTTAATAAATTATATTAAAATATTTTATGAAGTGTGATATACACATTTTATATAATTTACAAGCATTTATGGAATAATCTCTATTGTAAATCATTTCTAAAAGCTTGCCTTATAATAGATTAAATCTTTATTACAATAAAATTTTTTTGGCGTGTTAATGTTTACATAATGTAAATGTAAATACTTCAGCACATACGTAAAACTGAATTAAACTGACAATGCATCTTAGAACCACAGTTCAAACTTCAAATTTTAGAAAAAAAACAAAGAATACAAATAACACAGATTAAAGACATTTACTGAGAATAAGATTAATATCATGAATATGAGAAAAATATTAGATTAACAATATTTTTGACTAAAAATTTCTTAAGTAATAAACAAAAAATAATTACATTTGTATAGAATGAACAGAAACTAATTAGTAAAACAAGTATTGAGGCGTAAATCAAAAAAGAACAATATATAATACTTTCAGAGAAGAGATGGACGACATTAATTTCTCTAGATACAGGCATTTAAGCTTAATTCTACAAAATTCCTGAAAATAATGATGATAAGAAAGAAATATGATTTTTGCATTAAGTGTTTTTACCATGTTTAAAACAAAGCGTTAGCTTCTTTACTTTATATTTCAACAAATTAAGAAAAATGAAAGTTATATAAAATAGCTTTTACTTTATACTTTTAAAAACTTATTTCAAGATAAAAATACAATATAAACAATATTCCAACAATAAAGACTGAAGTAGAAGTTTAACATAGTCTGAAAGATTAAATATTGACCTTACAAAATGACATTTCTCTAAAAATTTGTTTTTATTATAAAATGTTAAGAATTTCTTAACATAGGCAATTCCAATTTAAATGACTAGTTGTTCAATTTAAATTTCAATAAATTTCAACTTTATCTTACATATTTATTGCATAAATTTACTTTATGCAAGAATCTATTTAGTATAAAAGATTATTGAACACAAGGAAGTTTAAATATTAAATGGATGAGAAATCATTCACTATGAATCATAAGAGTCATTCTAAATTAACAGAGTAACTAAATGATATTAATTATATGATTTAAACGATTCAATTTTTTTTCTTTCTTTCTCTTTGAATAATTAATTTTTGTAAAAAACCATTGTTTAATATTATTCTTATATAAGGGCTGTATTAAAACTATTGCAAATGTGGACATAACTTACATCAGTACATAAAAAAACTTATCAAATTGCACTTGTTAGAGTAACTCGTCCTCTATACAAAAAGGTACTACTCATCATCATCTTACATTACAATTGATTCATTTGTACCTTCATTGAACCCAACTCTGGAGTCCTTGAAAGACATTCAAGTGTGCACCATTATACCCACTTCTTCACAGCCACTTACACCTTCTCTGTGTCGTCAAATCATTGTCCCCAAAGACTGTCCTTCATTCGACTGAACAGGTGGAAGTCAGAGGGTGCCAGATCCGGGCTTTACAGTGGATTAGGAACCACCAACCAGTCTAGATCTGGNAAAATTTTCAAATAATTTATTTTAATATCACACTTATTTAAATGTTTGGCACTAATCTGAATATAAGTTTCTACATATGCAATGATTACTATCAGGGATATTTAAGATTGGTAAGATTAGTTAATTATCAATTGTTTCAAAGTTTCTTTCCTTCAATTCTTCCCTAAAAATTCTTTTATAATTAAGTAATTTTGCAAACAATTTCTAATTTTAGATAAGTTATAAATTAGCCTAAATTTTTCTGCTTCTATGCAAACTGTATGTAGCATAGAAGCTATGATGTGACTTACTGTTTTACTCTTTTCTTGAAGTAATAATTATAATATATCAATATTAAAAATATTTTTTTAATAAAACATTTTTATTGGTCATCTTCTTTTGTCCATATTTTTATTCATTAAAACAAATGAGGATAAAGCATTTGTTTTAATGAATTGTTGGGGTTGTTCTTATTGTTATTGATTTTGGAGAGCAGTCATCCCTTGCCTTATTTGGCATTACCATGTATTAATAAACATAAATATAATTTTTCAAGATTGGAGCGGCCTCACCCCCAACACATACATAACTACAATGTAACACACACACACGATTAATTTCTACATTTAATTACGTTTATCAGGTTTCGGAATGGGGAGAGTGTGGGGTGGGTCATCCCATACATCATTAGAATGCACTGTCATAGGACTTAGAAAGCTGAAACTTTGAGGATAAACCTATCTAATTAGAAGTAAATTAAATTAGAGTTGCAAAATTTGAGGCCATGATAAAAATAAAGTAATTAATAAAAAGATTTTAGTTTCCTGATATATATTTTTTTAAATATCTGATACCCAAAACAATAAATTTTAAATAAGTTTCAATATCGGCATTTAAAATCTAAGCCTTTAAACTAGTGTTGAAGTTTATAAAACATTAGAATCATAAATTAAAAGGAAACATTTGTTACATTACAAGATATATTACTACGGCTATACATCAATTCTAAAATAAAATAAACTAGTTATATACAAAAGAATTATTTAATAGTTCAGCTACAAGCCAGATGAAGTTTTGTATTCTGCTTGAAATATTAGTTACTTAAACTTTAATAAATTATATTAAAATATTTTCCATTAATATTTAATGAATATTGCTAGTTATAAAATAATCTACCAAGTAATCTATTCAACTTTTAAGTAACAGCAAATCCAAATACTCAGGCTTACTTTTACTTCCTATCAGGAAAAATTTAACATTAAATTAAGATTTTCTAACACATATTAGAATTGGTCTGATCATTAACACTTAAACCTAAACAAATTAAAACAATTAGATCACAAATTAACAGGTATATCAGAAACATATTAACTTTAATTTTCTATACTTTTTACTATTTTTTTTTAATCAAAACACAAGTAAAAATCATGTGTTAACAAGCATATGTGAAGTAATTAAAAGAAAAATTTTAAATGTCTCTTTTCCATTTTTTTTTAAAATGTAAAACGATTAAAGAATATAATTCAAGTATGAAATATTATTAAAAAAAATAAATAAATAAATAAAAGTGCAAAAAACAATATTAAGAACATAAAAAAACTATTAAATTAAATGAAACTTAATCTTAAGAAATAAAAAAAAGGGGAGACTTCACTTTTATGTTTTTTTTTTTTTTTTTTAACCAAAATAGGAAATGTAAATACTTCCAACAAATGTTTTAATTGTTAAAATTGATCAATCTTTTGGGATGAGAATGGCTTTAGATTTTAACAATGGAATCATTAGAAAGAATTAAAGAAAAAATTACAACAAAGAGAAATTTTGATGATTGTTTACCACCATAGCATCTGGTGTCAAACACAAATGACCGCATGTTACACTACCACCACCACCACCCACAATTAATTTATTAATAAACGATCACAAGTAATAAAACTTGGCCTAGTTTACTTTAAAAAAAACACAGGGCCAAGAATTAATAGAATATTATTGTAATAATTTTGTAAGCATTTTTTTAATCATATATCATTTAGGCCTAACAATCATTCCACCTGCTGAATTGCAACAGAAAATATTTTCACTTAAGACAATGATAAAGCAATGTACACAAACAATTAAATGAAATAAAATTAAATTTTAAAAAATATATATATATAAAAAGAAAACATTTCTAATGGGAAATTTAATAAATTTATAAAATGCAATTTAAAAAAAAATAATAATGCTATAAAAAGTAAAAAAAAAAGAAAAAAAAGAAAGAAATACTGTTAGGCCTAACGCTAAAACAGGAAACTAAGCTTATAAATGAATAAATAACGAAGAACGAGATTAAAATTATTCATATTTCTTTAGTATATTATATTACCTTTACTAATATCGTTTTAATTATTTCGTTAAAACCGTCTTTAGTTATATAAAAGCAACTTTTCTATCGTTTTACAAAGTAGGCCTAACATCTTCCCGCCTCTGTCACGCTGTGAATTATGGGTAGGCGAGAAGATCACTTTTTAGGATCCACGTGGATGATCGAAAATATTTCCATGCAACACGAAACTCGAATTAAAGATTAAACGATACGACTCACCTCTACCGTTCTACTAACGTAACCTCGATTTGTCGATTATAACACGCATACATACATACATACATACATACACAGTAGTATATTCTTTCATACTTTTATACGTACCGTCGTACGTACTGTATTGTACTGTACGTATTTTCTTATTCCTCATCAACTAGAAAAAAAACCTATAAAAAAAAAGTAAAATAAATCTTACTTTCGCTTGTTTTATTTTCTTTAACGAATACTTGAAAACTCTCATAAGTTTAGGATTGTTTTTATCGTTTCAAAGTCTAATACAGTAATGTTGCGTTCGGTTGTTTACGCGTTTAAACATATACTGTACTCGATGTTTACGGTATAATAGCGGTAATTTTCCTTTATAACTCGGAAGAATCTAACCTGGCGGTAAAGTTACGTTCGAGTTTACATACTGTCTTGTTATATTAATAAATAATCTACAGTTCTATAAGATTGGGTATTTTGTTTAGTTCTTTCTTGTGTATTACACAAGGCATTTAGTAATTGTTTTATCGTCGTTTCGTTAGGCTTTACAGTAGGCAAGTTTTTACTAAAAAAGAAAGAAAAAATACCTCCAAGTTGCGATTTATTTAATGAAGAAACGGTATAAAGTTGCAAGACTGACATTTATAGCGTATATACAGCCCAATTTATGTATGAATGCTTGTATACACGCATATATATTAAAGTAAAATTATATAATTTACAATTAGTTTTGAGGCATTTCATATATGCAGTGTTTTATTAGAATGTTATTGAAGTTAATATAAAAACATTTTAAATCTTAATGGAATTGTTACCAGGTCTATTGTAATCATTGTATTTGATAGAAATAATTCAAGAACATTTTAATTTCATTATGGTAAAATGGTATATTGAATACAATACGTTAAACTTAATTTATATTTCTTACATTTAAGTTAATGTTAGAAACTGGTGTGGCCTTCTTTTCGTGTTATAAAATGTATTATTCGTTAAAACATATGACGATAATACTGTGTTATATTTGAAAACTGACGATTTATCTTTTCTGAATAGTCCCAGGAAAAAAACAGCTTTAAATATCTTATAATTCATAGAAAACCAATATTTCTTATACACGTACTACATAAAAATTTATGGCGATGATAAAATGTTACCATTCTAAAATAGAATTGCTTACAGAAAATGGAACTTTTAATACTTGTCCTATAAAATAGAACGTGCTTTAAAACCTTGAAGCATTTAGTCTAAGTTGAAATCACTCTTTTTTGTAACCGTTTCTTTTGCCGTACTATCAAATTTACTATTTCAGAAATACAGTTCTAACTCCAAGATGGCGACATACGGAAAAACATAAACTTAGTATCGTTAATGCTATGAACAGATAATCTTTTTTTAAATTGCTTCTTATTCATAGAAATAAGCAATTACAAATACTGGATTTTTGAATCACAATCTATTATGTATCTTTTCTAAAAAAACAGTTCTAAATACCTACTATAATGAAAATATATGAGCTCCTACATAAAAGAAGCATATGTAGTAATTTATCTTTCAATAATAAAAGAAATATATATATATATATATACCTTGGTTCTTTTTCATTTTTATTTTGGCTAATAATTTATATTCTTAACACTTATATAGGAGCCAGTTTCCCATAGAAAGTCGTCCCAGGTGGTATTCCCCGTGTGTCGCATTGCCATAAACAAATTAATCAACGTAGTTCCTGTGGCAAATTTTTTTTTATCGTGGAAGCATAAATACTAAAGTTTTTAATAGTATCTTACAATATACATGGATCTTCACAGGGTGATGCCAATATACATCGGCATCACCCTGTGAAAGGTATCAAGATCCTTTGATCAAAATGATCGACGGATCTTGAATATGAATTTCTTTAGATGTTTCTTGGCTTATAATTTTGAATTTATTTAAATTGGTATAACATAAGAAGTTCATATAACACTTAGCTTGATCCTCCTAGCCAATTAAATTTCATAGCATTCTTCATTACTGAACACGGCATTGCTCTAATGGAGTGAAACTTTGTATTGAAGCTTGAAAGCATGTTCCTGTAAACTGTTAAAATTTTACCCTTTCAGCCGTATGGGCACTAAGAGGACCTTTTCGGCAAGCCCATTATGGATTCGGCCAGGCTTACAATGGAGCAGCCGGGTAGTAAGGGAAGGACTTCGTGAGTTACACTCATTGGTGTATGTGTATTTGCATCTGTTTCGTTTAATTTAATAACTCAAAATAGGGTAAAAATTAAGTAATAAAGTTTGGCCTGGTAACCTGTATATAAGGGGCGTTGATGCTATTAAATTTTGGATTACGGAACTCGACGGGATGAAGAGATAGAGAGTTATGTATTATATCTCGAATGGGGTCGGACTTAATGAAGATTTAACTCATTACTAGCATTTACAGGTTTATATATATATAAAATCATGTCTACCATCAAAATTAAACCTTTTTGCCTTTTTATAATAATATAAAAGCTATTTCTTCAATAACATCTCATAACCGATGGCACCACATATGGTTTTAACTTTAAGATAGTGTCATGGTGTTGTTTTTAAACTTAAATACAGTAGAGCGTCGATTTTCAGAAAGTCAATCATCCGAAAGAATTCCAGTCGGCAAATTTAAATTTTCGTCAGTGCTGTGGCGCTTCAATCTTTGGCTATGTCTTGGGCTACACAAATATTTTACGTTTTTGATACTAAATTAACATCTGAAGTATAATTTTTTATTGTTTTTATATTTTTCAATATATTTATTTTGTTTG